AAACCCTGTCTAGAAAATTTAAAAAAAAAATGGAAACATTAATATAATAGAAGGAGTTTGGTCTCTGTTTGATAATGCATTAGACGGTTTGAAAAAACAAAACAAAACACATACACACACCAAAAAAAAAAAAAAAAAAAAAAAAAAAAGCAAAACCAAGATTCAGAGTCTTACAGTCTCGCTGCTGAGAGTTTCTACGGACTTGCCTTGCATCGGACTCTTGAGATAAGGAAAAAAAAACCTCCCATGTTTATTTCTCAGAAGGTATTGGAGCCATTTTAGAAACACTGATAGCAAGCCAGACAAGATGGTGAATGCCTAAATCCTAGAAGACTGAAGCAGGAGGGTGCAGGATCCAGGGCAGTCTAGGCTACATAGCAAAAGCCTGACTCAGAAAACAAACAAAAAAATGGCTGGGGATGACGTTCAGCAGTCGAGTGCTTTGACTAGCAGTAGCTGGGCTCTGTGTTCCCTCCCCAACACCACGAAAACGAAACAAAAGGGGGAATTTTCTGGGCCCGGAGGGGCACACCTGTAACTCCAGGACCGACGAGATGGAAGCAGGAGAATTACTGTGTAGCCAGCATTGTCTACACAAGAGTCCAGCCGGGACTACACAAGACTGTCTCAAAACAACAAAACGAAATCTGAAAGTGAATCCCAGAGAACAGGAAGAAGGGCAACAGAGGCCAGACAGTGAAGGACAAGCCAACCCCTCACTCTGAGACCATGTCACAAAATAAATACAGATTTTAAAATCTTATGGGTAAACGGCTCAATCCTATGGTGCTTGTCCAGAGTATTCCAGTATTCAATCCCCAAACCCAAAAAACAAGTTTGAGTTTGTTCCCAGAGCTGCGAGGAGCGAGGAAGAGTGAGCAGCAAGAGGCAGACAAATCTGAGAAAGGACGGAGCAGCCTGGGATCCGAGAGTTTTCACCAAACAAGCAGCAGACCCCTCAAGATTAAGCACGGGCTCCGCCTACAAAACGGGCTGGGGGTGGGGAGGCAGAGCGACTTCAGCTAAGGGGCGGGGCTGCGGTCGTCCAGGTAACGCAAGCCGCATCACGCTATTGGCTGATACTTAGTGCGTCATTCCCTCTCCCCCGCCCTGCGCTTAGCCCAAGCTTTCAGAACTCCGGGGGCGTGGCCTCCGCCAGCTGCCCAGCCTGCGAAACCGCAAGGGAGGGGAGGGTGGTGTCACCTGGCCCCGCTCCGCAGTGGGGTCTGGGCCTGGTATAGGGGGCCTGCAGAGAGACAGGAGCAAGGAACACAGCTGGGTCCAAAGGAGCCGTTCTGACGGCACTGCCACCCTCCGTCCTGGAGATCCCTCCCCGCCCCCTAACCAGTCGCCAACCTAAACGGGACCGGCCCAGTAGGGGACGGAGCCTGGCGTCCGTGGCTCCTCCTAGCCAATGGCGCCCCACGGCGGGCAGGATTCCAACCAATCGTGGCTGGCGACCGGCCTCCGGGGAGGAGCCGAGTGGCCCCCGGCTAGACCCAGAGGCCCGGGGAAAGTGAACCGGACTCCTGCCCAGCACTGGTGGCACGCAGCGCTGCAGGCTTGCCGGAGGTAGTCGTGGCGACCGTGGCAGCCGAGGTGAGGGGTGGCCGCCTGTGCGGGGTTCTTCCTGAAGTTGGAGGAGGAGGGGGCGCGCTCCCGAGTTAGGCGGAAGCGGGGTCTGGACCCGAGTGGAGGGCGCAGATTGGTGTGACTGATGGGCTTCGGAGGGTGGGAGGCTAGGAACTGAATTCCAGCATCAGCACCGGAGGGGAGGCAGGGTTATTCAGGAGGAGTTCGAGTTTGGAGAACCGAGGGGAACGGAGAAGGAACTTTGGGGGCACGGATCTGGAAGAGGAAGACAGTTCGGGTCTCCCCGAATGGGCTGAGTTCGGAGTTCCACGGGGTTCTGGGCAAAGTGTGCGAGTTTTGAGGCTAGGATAGGAAGGAAGCATATAGAGGAACCCGGGAACTACAAGCGCCCAGTCTTGGATTCCGAGACGCCGTCCTGAGAAGGGAATGCCGGGGGCAGTTCAGTGTCGGGGTCCCAGAGCCGGGTGGGCAGTTCGGAAAGTAAAGCTAGAGTCATTTGAAAGTCGAGCCGAATAGGGCGGATTTGGGACGAGGTCTCAGAATTGAGATACATAGTCTTCCTCAGCCGAACTGTGTACCCGAGAGTTATTTATCGTTTTTGAACGATGTGATGAGATGTGGTTCTCTGCAGTTTAGGGAAGAATCCAGAACTTCCTGGGTTGATTGGGACCCGGAGAAAGCAGTTTTCGGGCTGAAGTCGGGTGGGGGAGGGGCGCTCGGGGCGTGGAGCTCAGATTCGCCGCCCCGAAGGCAGCAGAAGGCGGGGCTCGGCCGGCGCTGGGCTGCTGGGCGTCCGGGTTCCCTTCCCCCACCAGCCAGGGCCCCAGTGAGCATGCTCTCAGGCGGGCTGAGTGTGATCAGTCCCTCGGGCGTGCAGGGCCTTCTGGGGATTGTAGTTCGAAAGCGACAGCAGCGGCTCTGGGTCCACAGTTCCCAGAAGGCCCTGAGGACATATTGGGGTGTTCTTGGACCTGATCTAGAGACCCAGGGAAGGGCGGTGCCTATGAAACGGTGGTATGGCTGGACTGGTCGCTAGAGGGCACAGCTTGGTGTCGGTTCAGTTCTATCCAGCTTTAAGTTGGAGTTGTGGAAATGTTCCCTCTTGTGAGCGCTCCTGGTCATGGTGTAGGAAGCAGGTATGGACAGAAATACCCTTGTAAAAAGAATAACGCCGGGCGGTGGTGGCGCACTCGGGAGGCAGAGCCAGGCACATTTCTGTGAATTCGAAGCCAGCCTGGTCTACAGAGCAAGCTCCAGGACAGGCACCAAAACTACACAGGGAAACCCTGTCTCGAAAAACAAAAACAAAAAAAGAAGAAAAATATCACACACACACACACACACACACACACACACACACACACACACACACACACGCTTCTTAGCTGGGCGCGGTGTCGCACACCTTTAGGCCCAGCCTTCGGGAGAGAGTCAGTAGGGTATGAGTTGGAAGCCACCCTGATCTACAGAGGGAGTTCCAGGGCTACACAGAGAAACGCTGTCTGAAAAGAGTCTAAAACCCCTAAGGGTCAGAGATATGACATGACATCATGACTTGCCAAGATCACAGTTCATATGCAGAGTTCAAATGGGTTTTTGGTCTGTTGCTCTGTACTCCACATCTGTCTGGCCTATGACTTGTTCGAAAATAATAATAGTAATAATAAAAGTATTGTGAGAAAGCCGGATGGTGGTGGCACACACCTTTAAACCCAGCACTCAGGAGGTGGAGGCAGGCAGATCTCTGTGAGTTGAAGGCCAGCCTTGGCTTCCACGTGAGTTCCAGGATAGGCTCCAAAGCTACACAGAGAAACCCTGTCTTGAAAAACCAAAAAAAAAGTATTGTGAGAGTACAATTGCAAGATCCATTGAGACTAAAGATCCTCACTTTCCAAATTCTGAAATTGTCCGACAGTGTGTAAATGCAGCATTGTGACTACCTACCACAGGCAAGTAAGTGAAATGCAAGCCAAACCCAGGTGTTTTGTGATTTTTTTTGGGGGGGGGGGACTCTTTGTTTTTACTCGTCTCACCATGTGACTCTGCCTGGCCTGAGATTGGCTATGTGGACTAGGCTGGTCGTGAACTCACAAAAATCTACCTGCCTGTGCCGCCTGGTGCTGAGATTAATGGCATGGGACACCAGTCACAATTTTTTTCTGTTTATTTTTCTGTTTTTAACTTTATGTGTATGGGTGTTTTACCTGCATGTGGCACTATGTGTGCCAGATCTCCTAAACTGGAGGTATAGATCCCCTAAAACTGGAGTTATGAGCCATCATGTTGGTGCTGAAAATTAAACTCTCGTCCTCTGGAAGAGCCAGTGTTCTTAACTACTCAGCAATACCACCTCCCTTTTTATTTTTGAGACACTATATCTAACTAAGGATGACCTTGATCTTCTGAGCTTTTTGCCTCTGCTTCCTAATGCTGAAGTTAGAGGCATCCCCTGTTCTCTCTCTGTCTCTCTTACACACACACACACACACACACACACACACACACACACACACACAGTCTCACTCACCACTCCCAGCCACCCTACCTGCATCTTATCCTCTCTCTCTTCTCTCTCTTTCATTTTTTTCTTTTCTTTTTTTTTTTTTTTTATCAAAAAATATGGAATGCTTCACGAATGTGCGTGTCATCCTTGCGCAGGGGCCATGCCAATCTTCTCTGTATCGTTCTAATTTTAGTCTGTGCTGCCGAAGCGAGCACTCTCTTTCATTTTTAAGGTGCATTGGTGTTTTGCCTGCATGCATGTCTGTGTGAGGGTGTCAGATCTTGGAGTTACAGGCAGTTGTGAGATGCCATGTGGGTACTAGGAATTGAATCCCAGTCCTCTGGAAGAGCAGTCAGTGCTCTTAACCACTGAGCCATCTCTCCAGCCCTGGATCTTATCCTCTTAATCATATCTCATGCATTTATTCACCCATTCTTAGCCTTGAAGGAGTCTGACTACTTGCACTTTAAGTAGAGGTTTTGATAAAACAAACAAGCCAAAAAGCTTTCCCATAACTACACAGGCTTGCTTGAAAAAGTGGAATCCAAAGGTATCTGACTTACCGAGCAGTGGTGTCCTTTAATCCCAGCACTGGGCGGACTGGGTGGATCTCTGTATTTAAGGCTAGCCTGGTCTACAAAGCTACACAGAGAAACCCTGTTACAAACAAGCAAACCAAAAAAGCAAAAGTATCTGATGTGACTCTTTTCTACAGGACATGGGAGGCTTAAAGAGGAAACATTCTGATGTGGAAGAGGAGGAGGAAGATGAGAAGTGGGACTGGAGTCCAGCTGGTCTTCGGAGCTACCAGCAAGCCCTGCTCCGAATCTCTCTGGACAAAGTCCAGCGCAGCCTGGGCCCCAGAGCACCCAGCCTCCGCCGGCATGTCCTTATCCACAACACACTCCAGCAGCTCCAGGCTGCCATTCGCCTAGCTCCAGCACCAGCCCTGCCCCCGGAGCCTCTCTTCCTGGGTGAAGAAGATTTCTCCCTGTCTACCACTATTGGCTCTATCCTCAGGGAGCTAGATACATCCATGAGTGAGATAGAATCGCCTCAGAATCCAGTGGCTTCCCCGAGTCTCCAGAATGAAATGATGCCCCAGGCTGATCCTGTGTTTTTAGAAGCTCTGAGCTCCCGGTACCTGGGCGACTCTGGCCTGGATGACTTCTTTCTGGACATTGACACATCTGCAGTGGAAAAGGACTCTGCACTTCCACCCCCAGAGCCTCCCCGAAGCCTCTTCTGTGCCCCAGGATCCTGGGAGTGGAATGAATTGGATCACATCATGGAAATCATCTTGGGATCCTAAGACTGATGGAGGTCCTTCCTGGCATCAGCCTCTGTGGGCTGGGTCCTTGGATGTGACTCTTGTATGTGTGTTTAACAGAGGCTCTAAACAGTGACTGTGGCCTCCTTTCCTCCTATGTCAGGATTCCACAAACTGCCCTGCATGTGTGCGTGTCTGGTTACCCCAGCCTTCCGTGAAGGTGCGTCTGTCTTCCTGAATTAATTTATCTCTTCAAATGCCTTAACGAGACTCGGTTTCAGGGAGTCTGACTTCTCACTTACACACTTCTTCTGCCTCCAGTTCCCACTTGGGACCCCTAGGGCCTCAGGGAACATAAAGCTGGACCTGTCAAATGGGGAAGGGTGGGCTGCCTCTCCAGGGAGTGGGAGGGGCTGGTCTCCTCCTGGCAGGCTGAACCCCGATTCCTTGGCAGGACCCCAGTCCCAGAAGCCTCCTGATTCATAACCAGGCCGGACCATGTGCAATAGGGGTGGAAAGCTACCAGCTCCATGCTATGCTATTTAAAAGAAAAAGAAGGCAGCGTTTGTAGTGGCTGTTTTTTATTATTATTTTTTTTGAGTGTTTCTTTTTTGTAATAAAAGTATTTTGGAAAGATTTGAATTGTCTTAAATTTGTAAACTTACCTGGGGTGATGGGAAGAGCCTGTTAAGTTCCCTGGACACTTAACATCCTTTCCTTAACAAAGGTAGGTCAAGTGTAACATTGTATAAAACAGTTACTGACTTGCTTAAGGGTATTGTCAGAACTACTTTAGCAAACTGAATCCTTTAATCCTCAGGATTAGAAAGAAACAGATACTGTGTCACATTTCACATTTGCATAGGAAAAACTTCAAGTTTAGGGCTTGGAGTATAGCTGAATGATTGAACTCCTGCTTTGTATGTATGTATGTGTGAGGCCCTGGGCTTGACCCCTGTTTGCAAAAGAGACAATTTGTTTTGTTTGAAGCCATCTCACTGTGTAGTCCAGGCTTTCCTTCCGGGCAATCCAGCTGCCTCTGCCTCCCAAGGGCTCAGCTTAAAGATGTGCACAGACACCTTGCTAAAATAGCATTTTGAAGCCTGAAGTTTAGAGGTGGAGAGAAAAGGGACTACATACAGGGGTAAGACTCAAATTTTGCTAGCCTCTGGAGCTATGGTTTCTGTTTGCATGCTAGCTGGGGAGCCAGCCCAGGACGTGGCGGGCAAGCACATTACGCACATGACTGTTGAGCCATGCCCTGCCAACTGAATTTTAGGCAGGTACCCTTCAGGTGAGCCGTCCTCTCTGTAGAGCCTGAGCAGGTTGGCGGCTGCTGGGCTGCAGCCTCCCTAAGAGCCCTGTTTACCTCCGTGTTCATGATCCTTCCAGTGGACTGAAACTCATCAGACGGGTGTGGGTGTGCATGTGGAGCGTGTGTCACAGGCTAGGGCCTCAGAACTGAAAAATCAACCTTTTGTTATGGAATGTGCTGCTGAGGCCCTACAGGGGAACAGGATGCCCAAAGAGTGGCCCCCCCACTCCCCAACACCAATCTCTAGGATGCTAGTCTTGAAAGCCACGAGTTTGGGTTCAGGAATTCACTTCCGGTTTGAGAGATGAAAAGCCAGGAGAGTGAGGGTAGAGAAAAGGCAGGCCAGGAAGGAGTGTCCATGTCACTGCCCTGCCCATGCCCGAGTGAGCATACCCTGCATTAGGGACTTTTCTGGAAAGGTTGCATGGCAAAGATGGGGATTTTTCTTTGGTTTCTTGGCTTTCCAATAGATACCTCGTTTGGGTGAGGTGGGGGCGGGGCCTTGTAGCTAAGAAAGTGAACATGTTATCTGAAAATAGGGCCAATCCAAAAAGGGATGAGGAGACTGTGGGGAAGTGTCTCAAAAAAGTTCATATTCCAAGATGGCTGCCATGCTAGGTGTGATGGTGTCCACCTTTAACTCCAACACTGTGTCAGAAGTGAGAAGATCAGCAACATATGGAATTTAATGAAAGCCTGGGCTACATTTGAACCTTTTTTGTTTTTGTTTTTTGTTTTTCGATACAGGGTTTCTCTGTGTAGCTTAGTGCCTTTCCTGGAACTCACTTGGTAGCCCAGGCCAGCCTTGAACTCACAGAGATTAGCCTGCCTCTGCCTCCCGAGTGCTGGGATTAAAGGCGCCGCCGCCTCCGCCCCCGGCTGAACCTATCTTTAAAAATAAGAGCCAGCCAGTCATGGTGACCCATGCCTTTAATCCTAACGCTTGGAAGACAGAGCAGGTGGGTCTCTCAGTTCGAATCCAGCCAGTGCTGAGACAAGACTCTAGAGACCTGTCATAAAAATAATAATAAAAGTAGAAAAGGGTGCTGGGAAATGGTTTTGCGGGTGAAGTGCTTGCCAACCAGGAGTGAGGACCTAAGTTGGGACTCCCAGAACCCACATAAAGGTCTTATGGGATTGCTAGGTGTTAATAGGGTATGCCTTTAATCCTAGCACTCAGGAGGCAGAGGCAGATGAATTTCTGAGTTTGAGGCCAGCCTGGTCTACAGAGCGAGTTCCAGGACAACCAGGGTGACCAAGAAAAACCCTGTCTCGAAAAACAAACAAAACAAAAAGGTATGCAGTACCACAAATGTGGGGTTCAGGCCAATCCCCCAAGTCTGTGGGCCAGCTAGCCTGCCATATGTGCTGGTGAACAAGAGACTCTATCTCTGAGTGGAAGGTGGGAACTACCTCAGGTTGTCCTCAGACAGAAACAAAAAGAATGCTAATTAAATCACATCTTTCTCTTTCTTGAAACTTCCACCAGCTTCCACTCCCACTGGGAATAAAAGTGAGGGTCTTGGGGCTGGAGAGATCGCTCAGTGGTTCAGAGCACTGGCTGCTCTTCCAGAGGTCCTGAGTTCAATTCCTAGCACCGACGTGGTGGCTCACAACCATCTGTAATGAGATCTGGTGCCCTCTTTTATATACATAATAAATAGATAAATCTTTTTTAAAAAGATTAAAGGCGGTGGTGGTGCATGCCTTTAATCCCAGCACTCAGCACTCGGGAGGCAGAGGCAGGTGGATCTCTGTGAGTTCGAGGCCAGCCTGGACTACAGAGTGAGTTCCAGGACAGCCAGAGCTACACAGAGAAACCCTGTCTCGAAAAAAAAAAAAAAAAAAAAAAAAAAAAAAAAAAAAAAAAGGTGAGGGTCTGATCTGATCTCACACACCACGACTTCCTCAGTTTTATCCCCTCCTCTCCTTCACTCAGCTCTAGTCACCTGGTCTCCTACCTTAAGCCCATTTCTACCCCAGGACCTTTGTTCTGTCTGACTTCCTCCCAGAGGCACTTCTGCCGTAGCTTCATCAAATGCCCCCTGGAACCCAGAGCCTGGCGCATGCCCAGCCAGTGTGCACCGCCAAGCTGCACCATAGCGCTGTTTGACTTTCCTTTTTCAAATATTTTTTCTGTGTATGGGTGTTTTTCCTGCATGTATATATCAGTGTACGCCGTGTGTACCTAGCACCCTGGTACTGTGGTACCCTCAGAGGCTAGAAGTGTCAGACCCCTGGGACTGGAGTTGCAGACTGTGAGCCACTATGTGGGTGGTAGGAATTGAACCCTGATCCTCTAGAAGAGCAGTCCTGTTCTTAACCACAGCCCCGGTATGATGTGTGACTTTCTTTCCTTTCTCGCCCCCCCCCCTTTTTTTTGGTAAGATGGGGTCTTTCTATGTAGCCTTGGCTGTTCTGGAACTTACTATGTTGGCCAGGCTGGCCTCGAACTCACAGAGATCAGTCTGCGTCTGCCTCCCGAGTGCTGGGATTAAAGCATAGCTCCACCATGCTAAGTTGTTTGACTGTCTTAATAGCACCTGTGCAAAGCCAGGTTATTTATTACCTGTTCATGGTTAGCCTCCAACTCTATCAGAAACTCTCAGGGGTGAGACTTTGCCCAGT